AATAATAAACAGAAAGCAAGCAGAATAATAGCAAGTCTGCTAAAAAAATTTTTCAAAAAAATTCAAATCAACAAACTTCTTGAAAACAAAAATATCCAAAAAAAACTTATTATTAACTTGAAGAAGTTCTAACCAAGACCAAAAAGCATTTTCAAAAGCAATTTAAACCTTATAATTTTGATCAAAAATTATAAAAAAATAACCAGAAAGAGATATATAAATTAATAGAGAAAATATAAGAAAAATAGTATAGTGATTTTGATCAATATATTTTAGAAAAAAAATAGTCAAATATGCTATAAAGCTTGAAAAAAATATAGCTCTAGGAGTCTCTGAAATTACATATATATAAGGGCAGTGTCATTTATTATCTGATTATTTTTTATCAGAGGCTTACTTCTCTCCCCTTTTTAATATAAAAAAAAATTAGATTCTTATATATTATTTTAACTTTTTTTATCCTCGCTTTTTCTAAAAAATCACTTGATTTTTGTCACGTCCCTAACAACCAAGCCTGTAATTTTAACCAAGCTCTAACACAAATCCAAAGCTCTAGTTGTGATCTAAGCCTGTGACTCTTAAGCCTATAACTCTTAGGTCTATAACTCTCAAGATCACGATATTCAAGTACTTCTTCTCCAATATATAAAGAATAAAATCATTTATTAATTAGTTAGTAGTCAATATCATATTACAAATTAGCACATAAAGAATATAGTTATATATTAATTAGTTAATAGTCAATACCATATTACAGGTAAATATATAAAGAATATCGTCATATATTAATTAAATTAAAGCAACAAGTATTATAAAGTAATAGTTAGTTTAAGTATATGAATTATGTAGTTATTAAATAGTCAAAAGTAATTAGTATTAGTAATCATGCTAGTAATAGTCATCAAGAAAATTCTGTATAAAAGAGAGATACAAATCTTTATATACTATTTAGTCTGTTTAATGCAATAAAATCTATTCTTGCCTTAAATTACTCTAACAGCTTGTCATTATATAACAATTTGAACAGACTAAAAAACTAACATCTATACATATAAACTTTAAACCTCTATATTATTATTAAAAAAAAAACCCTACACCGATTGTTCTTGCCTTAGAGAAAAAAAAATAATAAATATATAATATAATAATAACACCTTGTCTAATAAAATATATTATTTAAAA